TTTTACATTTGAGCAAAAACAGAAAGAAGGCGCCTTCATTCTGGACCCACATCGTGGGTAAACCACATGACCTCCAAACAGGCCAAAATGTCACCGCCTGTGTTCATGTGGAAAAAAACGCTGTGTGCACACGTGAGGGCGAAACCATGAAGATCCAAAACAGGAACCAAAGCGATCCTGCTCCACTTCAGACACCTGTACCTGCTGAGCGGTTGCCAGGTTCGTGACCCTGACCAAGCCCGACTGTGACCACGATCGCATCAGGGTTGTTCCAGGCTCAGTGATGACTGCGTGTGACACAATCGGCCTGCAATGGCTCCTCCTTTCGCCCTCGGGGTGTAACGCTCCATTCTGCTTCTCTCTCGCCCTCCATTAAGATTATAGTTAATGCAAAACATGTCTGAACTAGCCATTTTCTGCTCTTGGAAAGCTAACCAGCTCCTCAGATGCCAGGACCGCCCCACTGGACCTCCACTGGTGTTGAAATGTAATGTGTGTCACACATGCTACACTTACGTTGAGTCAAAAGTAGAACATGTGCAGCTTAGAAAGCTTATGTTGATTTAAGTGTGTCAGAGCTGATGACTGCCACAGAGGTTTCTGAGGTTGTGGCATTTAAATAATCTACGTGCACCTCTCGTTCTGTACAACACCTGCACACAGGGCGCTACGTCAACACTGACCCTTCAGATTCTGTGACGAATGAATCCTCGCCGTCAGCAGGTTCGGCTGCTCCAGGTGTTTGTGGGGTACAGCCAGCGGCCTGACCAGCAACGCGCTTTGATAGAACAGAGCTGAGGAGAGAAAACACAAAGTCACAAACACATCTGGCTGCTTTACTTTTCCTTTCCTCATAATGTTGTGTATGTTTTGTGTGTGTTCAGTTTCTAAATTTAAAAAAGGTACTTTCTGGATTTGCACAATGCTGAATTTCACCACAAGGGGGCGGGGTTTCACCAGGCAGTGTGTTGACATGTTTTCAAGTGTATGACGTCGCTCCTTTAACCTAATTATTTTTAAACTCCCATCTTTTCCAAGAAGCTTTGCCTTTACTCAAACTTCCAACCTGTTTATTTCCTGAACACTCCCACATTTGTAAACAAAACGCAGTTGTGGGTCGCGGTCATGAAAAACCTGCCTAATCTTCTCTGCTAACTCCAAACAGCTTATTCTGCTGCCCTATGTGACTGGAGATCGGCTGTTAGCAGTTTGTTCTTGATGGTGTGGGTAGAGAGCCAACAGGCAAACCGTCCTGCAAACCTTTCACAGGCTGCCTACGGTTTCCAAGGCTGCGTTCACACTGCAGGCGAAAGCGCATCAAATCCGACTTCTTTGACCCTCTGCGACCATCTATCCGATCATGGTGTGACAGTGTGAACGGCACAAATCCGATATTTTCAAATCC